ATCTTTCGTTTGACTCCTTTTGCAAGTGGCAATCAAACGTCAAGTGTCAGCTGGAACGACGACGGCGCCGCTTCCAACGCGTTGGTCCTCGATCCAAAGTGGCTGATGGATCATCCGTAGATTGAGTTGTCGTTTGAACCGATTTTGGTGGCAAGCAAGCTCGTGAGTCTTTCCCAATGCTCTTCACCAAACATCACAGAAACCCCAAAAATCAAATCAAGTCAAAACAATCCATTGTATTTTTCGCCGGAGGCCCTTTTTCATTTTTCTCTTTTTTTTTTTGTGTTTGTTTGTTTTTCAACACCAATTTTAATGGAAAGAACGAACGTCTTGTGTTTGTGTTGAATACAGAAATGGCATCCGTTAGTGACACCACGCCTTTCGATATGGTGCGCTCGAGGGTCGAGAAAAGAGGATATGGCGCCTGGCAGACCAATGATATTGTTTGAGCTCTTTCGGTGTGCTTTCAGCCTTCTTGCCGCGGCCAAGACGAACAGCTGACATGATCTATACGTTTCTTTACCTAATTCGCTGTGACTGGCTGGCCGGCCGATGGGTCGGTCATATTTTTAGCTCGCCGGCTGCCGGAGCTCATCGCTCAGCAGCGAGACGCAGCTGCTGCGTTGTGCTCGGGCAAATGTGCTTTTGCTCAAATGTGCTTGGTCTCGAGCCACAAAGAAGACAAGACGACATCACGTTCAACTTTGCCTCAAACCGCTGATTCTTGAAGTTGGGAACCTCTCTGGTGCGGTTCCGTTGGATTTCATTTTCAATAGCTTTAGAGTGAATCTACATGAACATTTTTTTTTTTTTTTTAAGCATTAATTATGATTCAACTCCCATGGGCGATACAATTTAATGGTCAAAGCAAAAGTCATGTTTTTCAATGTTTTCCAATATTTAAGTGTCGCTCTAATGCTCAAACTGGGCATAATTTTACAGCGGCTTCCAATAATAGTGATTTCATTTTTTTTTTAAATGAAACCTCTGCTCTTTTTTAAGGGACACAAAGGCCGATGATGCCGCTGTATTTTAATGTTGGTGAGACTGGGCCCACTACATATTTTTTTTTGGGTGGCGCCTGGTGTAAAATGTTTGAGAACCACATCGCGCCGACCCCACCGAGTTTCTCCACCTATGACATGGCAACTCGGTTCAAATTTGACATTTTAAAGGAACGGACAATACACTGAAACGCTATCACGTCGGCCACAAAAAAATAAAAAATAAAAAATCATCAAAATTGCAGTGTGACCACATATTAGGATTAGCTAACAGCATTAAATTGTGATCGCCAGGCCATACTCAAAAGGTGGGGTCAAGTTGTCGATGAGGGGGCTTAGTCACGAGGCGCTATGCAGTGAAAGCATCACCGCAACTTTCATTTCTATCACGCTAGGTGGCCGTTCTCACGACTAACTATATTATCATTGTTTGACATCGTTTAAATTGAACAAGTGAGAAATGTGCGGGTAACAAGTGTCCCTTTTAAAAGGGTAAACTCATACACAGATCCTTTGTGCTCTCACTCCATGTTGATTCAAATTTTTGAAATGACATTCTCTCAGACAAGCAAATTTTCTAGAAATTCTTCATTGGAGACGTAGACGGAAGCAACTGAAGAATATCATCACGATCATAATCAAGGAGGAGCGAGCGGAAGGCAACGACACCTGACGATGACACTTTCCAACTTTGGCACTCGGGAGGGGCGGCGCGGGAAGGCTTTTTTTTGCTGGCCAGCGGCGACATCTACCGGTGACAGCTATGTATTGGAACAACTTGCCACGCCGAGTGCTCTGCTGCCAATTTTTTTCGAGAGAGTTGAATTTTTGAGCGAAATTTAAGGACGAACGCACAATGCATCAAGAAACAGATGACATTTTGGATGCGCATCTCCTAACTGTTTAGTCTTTCCATACTTTTAAACACAATTTCTGTTGTCTCAGAGAGCTGACAAAAAAAAAAAAAAAGATGGTTTTGAATTTTGTCTATTTGGCTCCTTGTTTGCATTCAAAAGTTGAGAGAAGGTGAAATTAAATTCACCCGTAAAGGTTATCGTAGGTTCATCTTGGTTTTATCCGAAGGCCAAATATCCAACGCGTTTGGTTCGGACAGTTGGCTAACCGTATATCTTTCCAATGCCACGTCAAATCCATCACCTCATCGGCCTTCTTCCACCTCGGGGGGAAAAAAAATCAAACTCACTGTCGCCAAGACACTTAACCACTCCGTAATTGTGCTCTGGACTAGTGCACTTAAGTCCGATACAAGGTACCTCACAAAGTCCTGGACAAAACTCCACCACCACCCCGTCATGCACCTTCAAGGCTTCCCAGAAAGTCTTCAAAAGGCTCCTCTTCAACTACAGATTTAAGTTGTGATCAAGGCGCTTCCTGGAGTAGACTACAAGATTGCGAACGAGGGCGTTAAGGTTCTAGAGGTGCGACAGGTTGAGTTGCTGTACAAAAGGTTCTGGTGGTGATCAAGAACGTTTTGGCGGTCCACGGCAAGAATGTGACTGTGGGTTTTAATAAGGTTCGACATGTCTGTCTACAAGTCTGAATAGCCTACACAAGGTCCTGGTGATTATCAAAAAGGTTCTACTTGTCCCCCTACAAGTGTACGAATGTGGCTATGAACAAAGTTGTACAGGTTCTACAAGGCTCGATGTCTCTAACGAAGATTCTAGTGGTGATCAGAAGTCAAGCCTCTCCTTTCCGAAGAACACTTTGAAACAGTCATTCATGCCTTTCGTCACCTCTCGGCCGGATTACTGTAATGCACTTGACTTTGGAGTCAGCCAATCCTCCATGAAGCATCTCCAGTTGCTCCAGAATGCCGCTGTTCGCCTCGTCACTGGTCCTCGTAAGAAGGGGCAAATTACTCCTACTCTGGCCTCCCTTCACTGGTTCATTTTAGAGTTCTTTTGAATATCCTATCATTTGTTTTCCAATCTTGATATGACCTCTGTGAGCTCCTACGCCCCTGCTGACCAGACGCTACTGGAGCTACCGAGGACTCAGCTCAAAGACTTTTCCGTAGGCGCTTCCTCTCTTTGGACTGACCTCCCGCTGAACGTTGGGCAAGCCATCCATCTTTAAAACTCGTCTTCAAACTCATTTTTATTCTTTAGCTCAGCATGAGGTTTGATTTTTAGCTTGACTTGTTTTTGTGCTTCCGAGTGTCTTGGATCTGAATTGATTGGGTTATTGTTTGTTGTATCAATTACTTTTTGCTCCATGTGCAGCACTTTGTACACCGTGGTGGTTGTTTTCAAGTGCTCCAGAAATACAATTGTACACTTAAAAAAAAGTTTACTCGGGTCCCTTGAAAGGAGCTGTATTCATCTAAGCTATTAGAATATATATCTTTTTTTATTCTTATCGCGATTACTCAAGGAGTGATTGACGTTGAATCAACTAACCAGTAAAGCGTCTCATCTATTGCTGACCAGAGAGGTGTGCAGGCGACAACAAACGGCCGATGTTCATGGTATCCAAGCGCGTTGCCAACGCTGCGCGCCCCAGGCGACGCGGCTCTATTTTTACACGCCGAGGGTTCACTCGGGGTCGCTCTCACACAAAGGATAAAAGTCACACCTCTCATTCCCTCACCGAGCAAATCCAACAGAAGCGCTCGCACATGGGGGTGGGGAGGGGGGGGGGATGAGCCTTGTCGACCGCATGGTGGCATAAACGGAAAGTGAGACTCTGTTTTGCAGGGGGACAGAATATGGAAAATTGAATTTTGAATTTTCATCAGCAATTTCCCGCAGCTTGTTTATTACGGTTTGTTATGCCGTTCCTAATGTTTTGGCTAGCGTTCCTAAGAGAGAGGTTTAAAATATTGATGTTGTGGTTTTTCAAAAACATGTTTCTCGGACCTCATAGCACATTGGTGGGATAACGTACCATTTTCAAATCGACAGGTTAACAATAGCACAGCGTTCTTTGACGTATAATACAATAGCCTATCTTGGAGCGGACAAATCGACCAATAAGAAGAAGAAGAAGAAGAAGAAGAATCCCACAATTTCTGATTATATCTACACTGAAGGTGTGCCTTTTGGGACAGATTCTCACCCTCCGGTTGGGTCAAAATGGCGCCATTCGCTTCCTAACTGGAAGACAGAAGAGGGAGCACAGCTCTGATTCTGGCCTTCCACCCCCTGGCTGCCTGTGCACTCAAAGAGTTCATTTTAAGCTTGATTTGTTTTCTTATCTTAAAATGGTTTTTCCCCGCCTTACGTCTTTGAACTGTTCCTTCCATAGAGTCCAGTTTTGACCTCCTCAAACACATTTATATTCCTTGGCGTTTAACACAGCATGGACTTGAGTTTGTTTTTGACTCTGCTGCTTTTTATGTGCAACATTTTAGTTTGGCCGTGGTTGTCTTTAAAATGGGTCTATGAAATACCTTCCAAAGCTTACGTCAATTAAAAAAAAAAAAAAAAAAAAAAGAGAGCGCAAAAACATAAACCGCATCACTCAACGATCAAGTGTTTTTGTGCTGCGCCGTGATTAGCCAGTCTGCGTTTCTGGGGGTGTGGCTCACTGAATGGACGCATGCTAAACAATTCTTCAGCGTATCCTTCTTTTACAGTAACTGACAAATATTCATTTGTGACGACGATTGTGCTCTTTTCCACATGATCGGACCGCTGCGCAGTATGGATGATTGTTCTTCCGACGAATGAAACGCCATTTTGGAATCCTCGACAAACTTTAAAAACTCAACAATATTTGCTGAGTGTGTGTCTCCTTTTGGAAATGTGCACATGTACATGTATTTCAGGGATCCTCAACACGATGCCCCAAAACTCGCTCAGTAGCTTCATCTGGAGAAAAAAAAACTAATAATAAAAAAAAATAAAATAAAACTTCCTGGAATCAGTTTCACCAATTGAATTGAAATGGGGCGGACATGTCAATCAAAACGAGACGTATCATCGTCTCAAGGACGTCTTCCTGGAATTGAACGGGACGGTGGCCATTTTGGTTTGAGGCAACCTTTTTTTTTTTTTTTTTTTTTTCAATTCCAGGGCTCGTACTTGGGCAAACCCCACCGAGGTTAATTCACCCACATCATCTCGAATTGAAGCAAACAGAGGATACGCTAAATTGCCTCCATTTTTGGCGAAGGCCTTCTCATGCAGGTCCGAGTCGAAGTTTGATGATCATTCGGAGGATTGGCCGTGATAAAGGGGGTTTGGGTGTGCCCCTTCATTGCTGCTTATAGCTTCAATTTGTATTTATATTCGGAACATAAAGCCAGTGAGCAATGGACATTTCTGGACCTGATCCACCGAATGGGTAATGATGGGGAAAAAAAAAAAAAAAGACATAAAATCGGAAGGAACCTCTTGGCGAAGTGCAACGAGCTTGCCGCATTATAGCTCAGACTCCGGCGAGCCGATGTTCTGGTAGCCCGTCTTGGTGCCGGTGCCGTAGTTGGTATTGGTCATCTCCTGCGTGCCGCCGGGCCCCAGGTAGGCGCGGTGGGCGGGCATGGGGGAGGGCGCCGGGCGTGGGGTCTTGCCGAGGATGAAGCGTTGCTCGTCCTGCTCCTCCAAGTTGGACATGTCCTTCATCATGCCTTTGCGGTAGGACGCCGACAGCTTGTTGGAACCGTCCGACAGCAGGTTGAAGTGACGGGCCACGAAGACCAGCGGCAGGGGCAACATGGCCACCACGATGAGGGAGTAGGCCATGGCTGAAGCCCACGGAGGGTAGCTGTGGAAACGCTCGGAGCCCTGAAGAGGTGGGGACAAAACAGAGGGAGCTGCTCAGCGGGAGAAAGAAGAAGTCAAAGGAGCGCCTCTGATTCACGACTGACCCACACATATACCGTATTGGCCCGAATATAAGATGGCCCTGATTATAAGACGACCCCCTCTTTTTCAAGACTCAAGTTTGAAAAAAGACTTTTTGAACACCAAATTAATTTTTATACAGAAAATAATTACAGTACATCTGAAACAAATGATTAGAACAATATTTGAGAGAAAAAGCACGTTATTTTGCCTCATACAAATTTTAATATCTGAACATTTAAATATGTAAACTAAAGTGCAATCACATTCGTGAATAAATGGCTTCTGGTTTTTGAAATGTAAATTACATCATAACTTCTCCTCAGCTGGCGGTTAACCTGGCCAATCTTCGACCCACTTTTCTCCAGATTGTCGCTACGTTTCTCCATTTTCTGTTATCTCTTCTATTATTTTCTTCTCTTCTTTCTGACTGCTATTTTCTTATTTTTCTTCTTCGTGCTACCGCTATTTTTATTTTTATTCTTCGTAACAGGGGTTCGCTTTGGCCTGGAGAGTCAAGTGCAGCATTCGCTTCAATGATATCTGGCGCCATCTCGCGTCGTGAATGGGTATAACGTCTAGACCCCGAATATAAGACGACCCCCACTTTTTCAGTCTTATTTCAATGCAAAAAACATCGTCTTATATTTGGGCCAATATGGCATATACATTCGAACCTTGTTACAACGTACCTCGACAGACAGAACGAATCTGTACTAAATAACGGTAGTTTGTCGTCACCATTTCCGATAAAATGGCCGCCAAACACGCCCGCCTCCCTTTTTGAGGGAAACTGTCCTGGACGAAATGGGACGCTTTTGTTTGCAATTCGAGCACATACCTCGGACTCCACCCAGGCGTTGTAGCCCGCGGGGCTGATGACCATCTCGATGACGGTCGCCACGATGAGCAGCACCAGAACGGCTGGTGACACGTACCTCCACATGTAGTAGTAGAAGGAGTACGGCCGGAAGCCCAGCATGTCCTCCAGGTCCTGCATAAACCTGCGAGAGGGAAGCAAGTGGCTGGGAAAGGCGGCGACAGAGCGACGGGGCTGCTGACGGTAAGTTGGCATCATACAGGCTGAAATGTGCGCCAACAGAAAGGGAATTCATATCGTTCATATTTTAATTTGAATAGCTGAACTTGAATTGAAAAACTGAATCGGGATTGTACAATTTCAGCTTTGATTGATTAGTTTGGAACTGAAGTCCAATCAGGGCGGCGCGGTGGAAAATGTCATGATTCGGTTTGGGGCCAACAGGTGGCAGTGTAGGGCTGCAGCTGCACACCTGTTGGTCATTAGGTAATTAGTGCTTTAAAAGGACTCCCAGCCGACTACTCATGGTCGGGTTATTGTTGCTGTTGCTGTTTGCTACTGTCATGTTTGTTTGTTGCCGTTTGTCTGCTACTGTCAGGTTTGTTTCGGTCATGTTTTGGTCACAGTTCTGTTCTAGCTTCAGTTGTGCTTTTTGTTTGCTACTTTGGACTATGTTTGTTTTGGATTTAGTTTTCTCTGTTTTAATACACTTCATCAAGTACACCCTGCTCCTTCCTCCTGCCTGCTTTTTGGGGTCCAGCACCACCTCGCAACGTGACAGAAAACAGGTCAGTACGTCGGCGTCACCGGGCAGAGGTGCATGGTTCGATTCTGGCCCAGCCATCCCCATGTGGGGCTTGAATGTTCTGTTTGGGTTTTCTCCGGGTACTCCGGTTTCCTCCCACATTCCAAAAACATCCATGGCAGGCTAATAGAACACTTTCAATGGTCCAGAGGTGTGATTGTGTGCATGAAGGGTTGTTTGTGTCCACTGCGATTGGCTGGCAACCAGTTGAGGGTGTCCTTCGCCTACTGCCCGATGACAGCTGGGACAGGCTCCGGCACACCCGCGTCGCTGGTGAGGAGAAGTGATTCAGATCACGGATGGATGATGGATGAAGTCCAATAACCTTGAACCTGAACTGAAAATGATGAAATGTGTTTCATTTTCTCAAAAACTGTATTTGACCATCATTGAAAATTCATCCTTCCATCCATTATTTGAAACCGCTTCTCCTCAGGGGGGTCGGAGCCTATCTCAGCCATCTTCGGGCCTTAGGCGGGGAACACCCTCAATTGGTTGCCAGTGTGTTTCCCATTGAAAATTCAATATTGTGTATTTTCATATTTCCAAATAGAAATTCAGCTCTGCGCATCACAAATTCAGTTCTTTTGACAAACATCCGCGCACATTTCAGGAAGATCAATCAACTGCGGTCCGCAGATCGCCTTTCCGGAATATCATTCCAATGTTGGGCACCTTTTGGTTCCGTATATCCAGGCCACCGAGATGTTCTCCAGGATCACCACCACCGTGAGCGGCAAGCCGGCAGAGTAGTCGTCAAACATGGTGACAAAGTAGTTGCCTGAGCGCTGCACAAAGAGCAGCCCCAACAGGAAGGCGATGATGCAGCAAGCCACTGAGGGAAGCAAAACGGGCGCTCAGAACTCGCACCGACGTCAAGTCGCCGAAGCGAAAGGAAGGAAAAACTCACCGCACAGGATCTCTTTGCGAATCTTGAAGGCATCGAGGATGGGCGTGGTGATGCCCGTCATGGTCCCGATCATGCTGCCCAGGCCCAGATTGATGAGCATGAAGAAGAACATGACCGACCAGAAGGGACTGGCCGGGAAGTGCGTCATAGCTTCGGTGAAGGCGATGAAGGCCAAACCAGTTCCCTGCACCGCCTGCACAATGACGATGATGACGTCGTCAACTGCTCCCGGACAGAGGTGTCCAAACGACGGATTGGGGGCCGTTTGCGATCCCACAGCCTGTTTTTGTTAGCCGCCTGCAGCTTATATTCAAAATCATTTCGGGTGCGACACCCAAATTAACAACGACGACTCCCACAAAATACATTTGCTTCCCTACATATGCAAAGAAACTATTTACGAGTGAAAGAGAAACAACATATCAACAGACACTCATGAATAAATCAAAATCAGGGCCAGGGGTGGATCTATCCTTCCGGGACATGGGGTTGCGGACCACCCGAAAATCATGAAAAATATCAAATTGTTTGCCTTAACGCCACAAACAGGTGTTAAAAATAACTCCAACAAGAACAAAAACGTGACAATGGGGGTGGGGGTATTCTCCCATCTGCGGCCCCTTCTCAAGGTTTTTCCGCAGATGGGGCTTTTTGGGGGGCGTTTT